TGCACCGGGAAGTTTTGCCCTGTGTTTGTCATTCATGTGCAGGCGTAAGATGCCTTTGCATGACGTCTGCCCTTTTCATAACAGCATGCCAATTTTGACTCATGTTCTGCTTGTGATCTGCCAGTAAATTGGAGTTTTCCCTGAAGAATTGCTACACAGCCAATTTCCTCTCCTGTGCCTGTGAATTCAGTTTTTCTTCTCTCAGTTGTAATACCTTGTACTCCCCCTGCTGAATTATGTTCTTCTTTTATCCTTCAGATCTTTAAAAAAAGGTATCATTACTGTTGGGATCATGATAACCTCCAGCATGCTACGTGGCTCTCCCAGATCTTGTTATCTACAAATGTAAAGAGCCAACTCTCTCTTCCATTCCCCAGGTCACTAATGAAGATACTAAATAGATGCGACTCAGAACAGATGCTAGTAGAATTATGTCCACTACAAATAGTAATTCTTCCACTCTAGAATTCTTCCATTCTGACTGAACTGTGCTTTAAGGAGAGAAAAAAAAATCCACTTAGTACCTGTACACATGCAGCCTTCCTCAAACTACCATCACTTGCTAATGAAAATACAAGACAGCGTCAGAAGCAATGTGTAAATTAGGAGCACAAGAATAGGCTCGTAGCTGTCACTGAACCCATGCATGGCCTTAGATACATTATCTGATCTTCGCGTCTAAGTTTACTCATCTGTCAGACACTGTCACTCTGTAAAACATTTGAGACCAAGAGATTGCAAATACTATCAGTTTAAGAACCAATATTATGTCTATGCTGGAGAACGCCCTTTTTCTGCAAATTTCTCATAGCAATTATGCCATGCATTGTTCATTGAAATTTTGCATTGTATAATTGCATACGCATGTATTTGTATAACGAATAGTTATACAATAATTAAATAGCTTTTGTTTCTATAACTGTTAATGCTTTATGGCAGATGAAATCTAAAAGTCTCTTTGGGGTTTATGGCCTCTCAGGTTTGAACTCCAACATAATGCGCAGCAATGAACATTTCATACATTTCTTCCCAAAACCCAGAAAGTTCCTTATTCTCACGACAGCATCAACTATGGTACTTTTTGGACAATTACATTAACAGGTGGGCCAACTTACAGAATTAATAAGGATGATACTTCTCACCCAGTAAATGCAAGGTGCAATGAACATCTATAAAAGACTGAAAAGAAAATGTTTCAAGCAGCAATTCAGATCAATGAGGATCTTGCCTTGAAAATACAGGACTGCTGAAAACTTGGTGTACCATAAGAGAGAACAAAGCAGAGAGCTCAAATCCAGTGATCCTTCTAAATAAGCCTGACAAGCTTTTATTACAAGAAAACTGAATTAAGCAAAAACCGGAGATAAGTGCTTTATCTGACATTTGGGATTTTAAAAGACTGAGAAATAGGAAGACATTTACAGAAAGAATAACATGTAAGGTCATCACCAATAAGAATTGGGTTTTATTCAAGCTATTGACAATAATTGAATTTTAGTTTCCTGCCTCTGCCTAGAGTTGTCAATTAATCGAGCCTTGCTTGCATGTGAACATTGCTAGAGGCCTCTTAAAGAATCAGTTGATTACAACTTTTTTTTTTTCCTCCCGAAGGTTGAAACAGCATCCCTCCTTCTCAATTTAAGTAATGATCATCTATGCAGGTTTTATTATATTAAAGCCTCACTCCAATTGATTTACCTTTGCCAGATGCTGTCAGAATTGCTGACAGATGCTTATTGCACTCCAGGTCAGCTGGAAATCGCCATGAGAAAGGACAGTCTGAAGCATCAGAGCTGTCCTAGACTCCTGAATGACACCACCCACCCACCCCAAAAGGTGAGAGGAACTTTAAAAGAGGAAGCCATGTACAAAACCCTTGCAGGGATGGGGAAACAGAAGCAACATGGCACCTCCACTTCCCAGCTAAACAGACAGCGATTCAGGATGGCACCTCAATCTGCTTTTTAAATGGTGCTGTTCTCGTACATACACTGGTAGACACTTCTACAATGAAACCTTTTAATGCTTTAGTTTCAGAAACTACCTGGAATGGGACAAAGTTATTGAATGAATTATCATCTTAGCTGATAAATCTAAAAAAACCCCCAACCAACCAACCACAAAAAAATCCACTCCAAAAACCACTAGAAGAACTTTTTAAATGTCACATTAGCAAACCGTTTAATTTATTAAAATGACTCCAGTACACCTCTGTGCTTCTACAACAGACACAGCATTACACATAACAGGTAAAACATGGTAACATTCTCAGGGAAGCAGTATCAGGCTCATTAGCACAGAAACACAAGAGCAACAGTATCTTACATCACCTCCCAGCTCAACCTTCTCCTACACGGTGATCCTGATACGTCTCTGTGGAGCAGGCGGTCAGTTGAACACAAGTGCGTGTATATGCTTCCTAATCAAAGACAGGTGACTAAAGCCCTATACTGTCAGAGAAGGCAGGTATGCCTCCGATGTCAGCATGAGTAGAAAATACTGTATTAATAAGTTTATGATCCCTGGAGCCTGCGTAGCTGTGGCAGCATGGGAAGTGGAATTCTACATTTTCGTCACTCTAAAAATGTGGTATCTACAAGATGCACATGGTAAGATTAAGTTTCTCATCTCACGAAAGATCCTGGCCCAAAAAGACTTGCACACCTGAGTAATATGCTCATAAGAATGACGAGACTCGTGTAAGTCTTTATAAGAGGAGAGTCTTACAATACATTTGTGGTAATTCAGGGCCAGTCCTTTCTTCTTTACTGGTTAACTTTACTGAAATTAACTCAACCTGGCATTCTATCAGCAAAGGAAATATGAGAAGTTAATAAAATCAGAAGACACTGAAGGTGTAAATACAGTGCAAAAGTGTTGGGTTTAGTGTTTGACTGTTACAGCCTGATAATTTTTATTCTGTGCTTTATTTTCAGGGAAAAGCATAGTTTTTTGTGTGTCAATATACACGCTTGCATATATATGTATACATACACACTTGCCGCAGAATGCAAAGGCTTCGAGTGGCATATGACCTGTAGTACTGACTTCTCACATGCAGGGTTTTTTCTCATACAATAATCAAACCAGTTTTAGAGGTGCCCCCTCCCTCTGCATACTAAATGCATTCATTAATGTGTATTCACATGCATTATTGCCCTACCCACTCACTGAATTATTTCAACCGGATTTTTTTTTTTTTTTTTTTTTTTTTTTAAGGTAAGCCATAAGTTATCTTAGTTGCAACACCTAGCCAGAACACTCCAGTGACCATAGGACTCCTGGGTTTTATGGTAACTAATACATCAGTTGGCAGAACATTCCTTATAAAATAACTCGAGTTTTGTTTGCTTCATATTGCTTCATTTTTAAAAATCATTTTTCTGTACAATCTTTGCTGTTAGTACACTTCAGAGTTACTGGAATGCAGTGAACTATGAGAGCTTGTTATTCAGAAGCACCTAGGGGTTTTTTGACATTAAATGGAAGCCATCAGCAACAACCGTTGTACGGAGCATTCATCAGGTTAACGAACAGTGCACATTAGCTAATATGAGATGAAACTGTTTTCTAAATAGCTAGTAGACTTCACAAAACAAATTATGTGCGATGTTGTCACTATCCTGCTGAGACAACAGAAGGACGTAAGAACAAAAGCGAGTCTAGAGTCAGTTTCTATCCGTATTAATGTAGCTTTGGTTCAGAAAGTCTTTAAGTGTTGTAGAGCACCTGGTTTAGTGACAGAACACATGCATCTCACAGTGCTAACAGTATAATGCTCATAAACTATACACTGCAGGTTTCAAATATTAATAGCATTTAATAAAAAAATTTACAGAAATATTCTTGTTGACAAATGTGCAGTACAAATGCAAGCTCCTTGGCCACAAACTCAAATTATGTGCATCAGTTTTGTGCTGGCGTAACAGTGCAAGTGCTGGGATTCAAGTATGCTTTTCCGGATTTATGTTGAGCAACAGAGACTACATGGTGAAATTTGGGGGATTTTCTGCTTACAAGGCCAGGACGCAAGAATCAAATGAAACATTGCGGTAATTGAAATATTTGATTTCCCTCATACAGAAGGCAATCTCAATGAGGAAAAGCACATTTCACAAGCAAACCAGCTTCACGTACCACCAAGTTATTGCTTCAGCTACATCAGCTGTACTAAAATACAGGACTGCAGCTTGCAATCGAATCTCCACTCACATGAAGAGAAGATGAAATCTACAGTGCAAGTCCTCCATGCAAAAGGATCAAATCGCAAGACCAGAGTCCTGTTTCATAGGACAGAATTTATTCATCGTTCAGTTGTGTCTGTTTGGTTTTTTTTTTTCCCGTAAGTCAGTTAGATCAGAGTCAAAAGTACATTGCTTGTGATATTTCTGTGTTTCTAGAGGTTACTACTTCATGCCAATTTAGATCTGCTCAGCAACAGATTACAATATGAACACTCATTCCCAAAGAATTGCAAAAGTTATTGCTGAAATTTTTAGGGCCAAAATTAAAAATTATTTCACCAAATCAAGTCTTTAAAAAAAAAAATAATCTGACATTGTATTAATTAAAAAAACCCACCAAACCAACTTAACAGTTTTTTTCAATTAAATAATAACCTAAGATTTTACAAGATATTCACATTCAGGCAACTGTCTCCTGACTTTCATCTGGCTGGATGACAGATGCCATAATAAAAAGAAGAACGCTACTCTCACATTCATGACAGCAGTGATTAGTGCAATTTCCCACTGCACTACACAGCTGTAATAGTGCAAGGTGTGCCTGCTAATGTTTCTCACAATCATCTGCTACATGATCATTATTCTCAGATGTCTGTAACTGTTATTCTCATTAGAATTTTGGCATTTATGTTAATATTTATGAAAAACTATGGCTTTATCCATGAAATATATATCCTGCCTAAGCAAAATTTTTAAACCATTTATTTAAAATAATAAAACTGAATTGGAATGAAAGTTACTTGTTTATGTCATAAGCTGTGTTGCCACTAAACTCAAGATCTCAGGGTTAGCTACAGATCACAAATACATGTATTTGTGCATCTGTTACAGTCTTTAAAAGTAGATTTAAAACATAACACTGATAAAACTTCACTCTTCATTTTAAATCTAATTCTAATCACTTATTTTTTGCAACATGTTTAATTACTTGTATCCAAAGTGTCATCTGAGTATCACTGTATTACAACAGGATTGGGATTGTAAGAAACCCATAAATGAATACATAAGAAGGCACTTGTCTTCCAGTAGTTCAAGTCAGAGGCAGCCTTACCCAGACAGTGGCACCTTACACTTTGAAGGATTAGCAAACGTCCCCAGGCCTTGACACAGTCTCAAAACCTGTCTTCGTGTCCCTGGACAAAGGTGCTATATGTGGTCTATAATACCATGAAGCTCATGATGAATTCCAGTAGTTTTTGCCTGTTGCGCTGAGGTAGGAACGTAGTGCTTAGTTCCAATATGGTGTCTCTTCTTTGTTTCGTCTGATTAAAAACCTAAAACACAGCATGAACATATGTAAGTATCACCAGGTTCAAGGAATTTCCTTTCGTTTGTGATTCGAAGTTGATGGTCTATACTAAATTTGCCCTCACTTACAAGACTTTATTTCCCTTTCTTGAAGGCTTAGATGGCAATGGCTTTAGATATCATTAGAATTCACTCAATTTTGAAGCCCTTCAAGTGGTACAGAAGAAGAGAAAATGAGAAATGCGCACAGTATATGATAAACATCCAGCTTTTAACAGCAAGGGATAAATCATGCGCTCAAAAGGCATCTGAACTGAAAGCGTAAGCACTCTGAAAACAAGAATTCAGATGTCATGCTCTGAATAGATGCTCAGCAGATGCTATCTAGTTCCACTCTTCCAACAGCAGAATAAAGTAGAATTAAAACGATGGATTTGTTATGTGCTTTCTTCACAACTCTTACAGTCTTTACTGCAGGCTTTACTATAGCTAACTAGCATCAGATTACTTAACACAGCAGAATTCAAGGAGAAAGGTTTCAAAACCCTTGTCTAGCAATACTTTGCCTAAATGCCAATGCTTTCAAAATTTTAATGCTAAATCCCATCTGGCATTCAGGAAGCCATGTCATTCTGATGAAAGAAACTCTTCATTTGCAAAATCTAGATAGGCGATTTAAAATTCGAAATGATAGTGGTAAAAGTGCAAAATTGATCTGTTATTTTAAAAATCTGTATCCTCATGGTGAATACTAGAGGTCTATTAGGATGGTTCTGCTGGAGCACCAATCGCTGCTAAGCCAAAATTCCATAACTAATACTTTTTGAAGATTTAAGTAGTCCTTCAAACTTACATTTAGCTGTCACTAAGCACAGAACATGCTCTCAGCCTTCCAACATCGTCACTGATGTCCAAAAAGGACGTGGGGTAGAGCAGAGAAACTTCATTTGCTATGAATAAAAATGCCTAGTCACCTAGCCCTCATTTAGACAGGTTTTCTCAGGGGCAAGAAGTGCCGTGTTCTGCAATGCGTGCTCTTCTCCTACAGCACTGAGATTTAAGGAAAGCAAAATGCTCAAAACCACAACACATTTGCACAGATAAATTCACAGATTTTAAACTGACACTGAACAGGTTCCTTGAATTGTCAAAATCGTGCTCATTATTGAGATGAAACTTAACAGTCTCCAACTTTGATCACCGAACACTTACCCCAATTTCCTTAAAGACCTTCACTGCGTTTTTCACGTGACTGTAGGTAGCACTCTCAGCTGCAAGAAAGAAAACCCAGAGATAAACAAACTTCCTACCTTGCACTAGGAAGAACAGAATTAATCAAAAACCAGTTTAACATACCATATACAGCAACATTCTTCTCTGTCCTGCTTATTAAGTGCCTGTGTAACTTTTGAAGGTATTCAGACTCTGAAACAGGACCACTAAAATTGTGGACGAAGATGACAGCAGAGCTATATGCCTCCAGTAAAGGTCCCAATAACCTCTGCAGGAAAGTAATGTACTGCTGGTGCTCTTGAGACTGGCTCACCTAAGAAAGGGCAAGAAGAGCTTAAGTGACAGACACTGGTGGAAACAAGAAGTGACCTGCAACACAGTACATTGCCAAATGGCAGCCAAAATAATTCTTAGTTCGGGGGTACAACACAGCACACTGTGAAAGCATAGCAAAAAAGCAGTTTATCATGAGGGACAAAACAGGGACTGCACATCACAGATCGATGCTACATTTTTCTCCTCCAGGATGTTAATAACTATTTTCCTAAGATAACATTAAAGACATCACACTGTTCTGCAGCCAACAGAAGGGTTGCCGTACATTGACAGAGATGGGCATAAGTTTCCAAGTGTTAGCAAGATATCCTAAAAAGTGTTTGTCAGCTCTGTGAGAAAACTGGTAGTATGTCTAAAATCAACATGATTATCTATGAAGTGAAATTTAGGCTGAGAATAAATACCAGCCAGATGTGCCCCTTTCAGAGTGCATGCTGTCAGTAAAGAATAAAACATTTAGACGTTAAAATACTTGAGCTTTTATCAGTTTTCATGACACTAACCATTGCCCTTCCACCTCCCTTTAAGATTACTTGATGTTTCTTCAGCTGCTTTCCCCATAGGAAGGAGAGAAAGGTGTCTTACTGACTATAGCAAAATACACAGACTAATACTGGGAATCAGAAAAAAAAATTATCATTATCCCTTCTGAACTAGTGATGTAGTTTGTATCTCTTGCAAGAGGTTGCAATGTTATTAGCCTTAGGATAATGTTACCTTCAGGTAGCAATCTCTCTGCTCTTCTCCAAAATCACTGTCTTCATCTTCCTCATCACTTCTCCAAGATAATGGTTCAGGGAGCTTTTTATCCCACTGCTGCTCTGTAAGACTGGGGCTAACATCCTCCTGATCATCCTGCTTAAATTTGAAAAGACAAGCAGGTAAACAGGTAAAAAAATTAAATCCAGGCAAATAATAGATTTATTTTATAATCTTATCTGACTTAGTCCATCCGTTAACCAATATTTAATGAAAGCAGGTGAGACCAAATTACAGACAGGGTTGAGGTAAGCAGAGAGAAGAGACATTTGGTGAAAAAGACTGTTTTCCTTCAGTTTGCCTGTCACGTAAGTGAAAGTCTTTGCAAGTGTTGCTGTATCTTTCTACCAGAGGCCATGCAGTAGCAGTTGCCAAGAAAGTGTTTTCAGTTGCATTAGGACAGAAAGTTGAGATGCTATCTGGATGTGGATGTTGCCAACCTCCTTACTATTGTTGCCTTAAAGACAGAGTAGTAAGCTCTGTGTTATTATATTATAATAGCTGAAATCTCAATTAATGCCGAATGCCACAAGTTGCTATTACTGCCTCTAATGATGCTGTTCTCAAAGAATGAGCCAATTTTAATCACAAAGGCCCCAAATTGTTTAAATCTTGATTATGTTGAGACATTAAGACCCCTCCACCTGTTGCATAGAGCAATTCCCTTCTGCTAATCACCCTGGTAAGCACCACCCAAGTTTAGCCTACAAATGCCCCCCAGTAATCCACCCTTGGAGCAGGACATGGATTTACACTTATACTTATTGGCAGGTAGGTGTCTTAGGTAAGCATATATTTCTTCAGGCTTTTGAGATAAGCATGTGACAGCAAGAATACTATTAGTGGAATGTCTTAACTTGAATATTGTGAGTGGAAAAAGAGTTTGTTGTTTGCTTTTCATCTATTTACTAAAACCATTACTTAATAAAGTGCTTTGTAAAGCTGTGAAGTATTGCAAAGTTCTCTTGCAAGGGCATAATAAGGTAATCTACTAGAGCCAATAAGAACAAATGACATATATATATATATTAGGTATACTTAAATAGTCATTTCATTCTGTTGTGCAATAAAGCAGATATGTCAGAGGTTCAGGTGTACAGTAACTGAGGTGCAACAGAAATACTCCACCTGACTGATCAATGTCTGATGCAACACCCAATTGCAACGTTGCATCTTCAGAAACAAGTTTTAGAGATCATAAACACACACTTGAAAGAATAAGGGAAGCCTCAGTGTCAATCATTTGCCATTATTGTTTTGCTCAAAGTATTTGAACAGAAAGATTTTTCAAAGGTCACCTGTGCTAAGTCGCTGAGGAAAGACTCCCATACGGTTATTCCCTTTAGAAATGGAAATCAAGCAAGATTAAACCCAAATGGGTAACAGACTCCTTGTAGACATGATTAGTGTCATAATATCCATGAGTAAGAAAAAGTCCTCTGCAGCAAATGAAGACAGACATCCTTCCAATCTTACACTCTAATCAAATGTTTTATTTTTCATGAAGCAAAGGCCACAAAACAAGTTTAAAAAAATACCAAACAGATGCGTTAGGCATATTTCTTAGTTTTGGAAGTAGACACTAGAATGACAGGAAAAGAACTTTAAAAAAAAGCATGGATCAATCAATTTAACAGGAAATTATTACTTTGTTAATGTCAGCAGTAAACTGAAGTAATTAGAAGGGGCAGAAGCTAGCTACCTTTCTTAGAGAACAGGTTGTAAAAACCCCACAAACACTTCCAACCTGTCCAAACCCATGAACCAATTGTTGCTTATAGTGTATGCACTGATAATACAAATTCTTAATATTTTAAAAGAACTAAGCAGGTACAGAGGTATTCTAAGTTTAAAGACATTTACTGGTGGAATATACCTCCTTTTTAAGCATTCAGATGTTGCACTGGTGGTGTGTAACAGACAAATATTTACATACTGCCTAATAGCTATCTATATCCCAGCTACAAACAGCAAAGTTCCAGACCCAGCAACCGAAACTTATAGAACCACCCTCAAGACAGGTTTTGTGCTGAAGTAGACAGAGGGGCATATCTACTGCTTTCCACACCTATTTTCCTCATCTGTCCCCAGCCATGGAACATACAGGTTTCTTCCTAACCCTCTGACTGAGCATTCATTTTTTGATTTATCTAATAATGATTACAATCTAATGCCTGACATGTCAGTAGTTCAGATAAAAAGCAAGCAATAGTAATTCCAAAGAAGGAGAACGTTTAATATCCAGGTATATCAAGTAAATAGTACCTATGGTTACGTATATTGAAAATGGAAGCACGGATCAAAAGGTATGCAGTAAGATTAGAGTGAAGCAGTGGCCACGAACAAATCCACCAGCTCTAGCCTCCTTTGAAACTGGGGAGCCGCAGGAAGAAAGCAGCCAAATATATAACTTTCCTCCATGTGCTCTTTAAATTTTGTTGCTTCGTCCTGAGCACCAAGGTTTGTTTACTGCGCACAATACAAAGTTTGGGAAGCAAAGGTACGCTGAGCCAGCTCTCCCTGGTCTCCAGGTTTTCTTTACACTGTACGCCTCTGGCAGACCTCACCGCACAGCCACGCCAGTACATCCCTGAACTGCAAATTCTGCTAGCAGAGGAGGCTTACAGTAATTTCGAGATCGATGCAAAGGAATCAAAGAATGACAAAAGATCTGGACTACTGACTCCTGTGCAGTAGAAAGTAAAGATCCATGTAAGCTATGCTACAATTTGAAAAGGCTCCAATAATAAAATAAATCCCCATTTTACAAGACAGTATAAAATATGTGTCTTCCTTAGTATGTTTATAATGTTTATTATGTATATTATGTATGAAATTACACAGAGTCATTCACAGCACCACAGGATGACTCTACCCAAATGTCTGATGCTTATAAATATAAGAATGATGTAGTAGCAGTCTTGGACCTGGTAAGTTGTTACAAGCTTTCAGTAACAGCACATATTTAAAAACAAAACTCACAACTAAGCAGCATAAAATACCTATGGCTAAAGTACAAGAAACAAAGCTCACTTAGTATTTCTACCACCTTACCTCGGCCACCAGCAGAATGCCGTATTGTATCAGCCTTTCCACAGATTCATGGCAAACTTGATATATCACCTGGCAAGGCTGCACAACAGAAAAGAAATACACTGAAAAAAAAATCCCATCCATTACACCCATTACAGCAACACCACCCCTCTGTTCAGTGTGAATGTTTTAGATACAGCTGTATTATTCCTTTCAAGCAAGTTATTAAACTTTTACCAGCATGATCCCAACACACCGCTCTGTTTATCCTGGCAGACAGGCAGACATTAAAAAAATTACAATGAAACAGGATATTTAAAATTTGCCCAAGTTTTTTTTTTTTTAAGAAATACATTACTGTACTGGTAGAAACCAACATTAAATAATCTCCCCTTTTAATCGCCTCTAACCAAATTTTAGTTTGTTAGCAATTCTGGAATAAAGTAATCATAAAACTAAAAGCATAGAGACTCATACCAGTGAATTATTTGGAGTTTAAAGGAAAGTACACTTTTAAGAAACTCCCTTACGTGTTTTGAAACCCTGAATAAAAAACCCAACGTCTTCTACATTAGCCATAATTATGTAGGAAATATTTTCTAAGTTTATAAAAAAAGTCAATTATTAACTCTGAAAACAGAAGGTTAAGTTTAGTAAAGAACCCCACCATAACAAGCTACATTACTGCCCAGACAAAAATACTAAATTTGGCTTATGCTTCATTTAAAAAGGCACAAGTCAGAACTATGTGTGCAAATTTAAGAACTAATTCAAGAATCTCTAGATTTTTAAGTAACTTGTACATGTAAGAAAAAAAAATCTAGCACTTAAAACTGAAAGCCTACAGAGTGTAAGTATAGAGAGTGTCTGAAAACTGAGATAACATCAGCTCCCTTCAGTGTTTAGTAGCAAAACAAAAACCAAAGTCAGGTCATGTTTAAAATTGCCACTAAGTACTAGGTGTGGTACACTGTGACTACTGCACTCCTATGCAAATTAAGATGATCTTGAGAATCTGGAGCCTTAGTTCCCAGCATAATTTCAATCATCTATGCAAACTCATATGAGCTGGGTACTCTCAGAGACTCGTATTTGTTTAAGTTTAAAAAAAAAGAAAAATTGGGCAGAATACAGAATAGAGTTGCAACGGTCTAATGACATAGGCGACACAAAATCTGTTAGAAGGCATTAAAAAGCCCAATCTCAAATTGTGGGAGGCTGACCAAGAGAGTGCAAGCAGCTTTTCCTCCTCAGGAAGGTCCTGAAGCCAGCACAGCAGCAACGCCGCAGGCTCACCACAGCACCACCCACTTGGCACTCGCAGGAGCAGCAGGCGTGCACTCGGTACGCATCCCCGAAACCCAGTCAATTGATTTGGTCACATCTTGCCAAGGAAACAAGGTAGTGACAGGAGTTTGGCAAGTTAATTCACGTGTTATCTTAGCCCAGACATCTTTTGGGTGGGCCGTTCTGATGGAACTACCTTCATTGAAATGTTCAGATGTTTCCTTGAAGCAAATGGGAACAATGCTATCTTCCTTTTTCAAATTATATTCAAACTCTTGCTAACCATTACCATCAGACTGTACTTACAGTGAACATATCAGAACTCTGACCCTTGAAGAAAGCATCAATTCATTTTAAAGTAACATAGGCAGTTACAAGCACAACAAAAATTTGAAACGTAGACAATTAATGCAATTACTTACCAAAGATACAGTAAATTCATTAGAAAGCAAGTAACACAAGCTAGCAGCTTTTCGGACCAGGTGTTCTTGACTAATCAAACTGGGAGAAGCACCATTGGTACCATTTCTGTACCTCCTACTCTGAACCGCATGAAGACTGCAGGCTAGAGCAGAAACAAACATAAGCAAAGTTTATTTTTCCAAAGAGCTTTATAGCAAATGAAACTTAAAATCTTTGTTTTGTCTATTTCCAGGCCTAAAAGCGTTCAAACATTACAAGTGCAATTGAAGAAGAAAGACAGAATTCACCACTATACCGTTTGTGTCCAACTAATGTCAGATTGAAACAAAATCTCACTAAAATATTAGTGCCAGAGCACAAGTTTTGCCACGTTGGCTCAAAACTCTAATAGTGCCTCGACCATGGCAGTGACCCATACACAAACACTTCCAAGAAAGAACAAGGATGATGGGAAAAATGAGTGGAAACATTCCACAAACAAAAAAACAAGTTTACTTTAAAACAGCTTTTGTTTGGGTAAGCACAGGCTGAAGCAGGAAGGGAAACGGGCTTGTGGGGTCGTGCAGATACTTTGACTTCATGGGTCACAAAGTCTTTCCTTGGTAAAGCTCAACACATACCAATAATGGCCTCTTTAATGAATACATGAAGTACTCCGTTGCTGTAGAAGTTGAGTTCAAAGACAGCAGGTATCGTTGTGCTGGGAGTGATGAAGAACTCATTGTTTCGACTAGTGTTTGTGATATTTACACAGTTCCCCAACAAGTGGATGGCATGCATGACAACATCATCCGAGTTCCCTGAAAATCCCAAGTCAAAGTCACGGGCTAAGACCTCCTCCTTCATGGAAAAGAAATCTTCTACCAACCTGGAAAGGTCAGTTCCCTAGAAATAAAATCAAAATCACAAAGTGAAACAAATGTTTTTGCACAGGAGTTTATCCTTAAACCGCATAACCATGTATATAGCAAACACATAAACAAACCATTCATTTTCAAAAGTCCAAAGCACAACAGGAGCATTAGAAAACCTTGTTTTCACAGAGACAGTGCTAAAATAGTCCACAGGGTTTGAATTATATGCAATTATATTTTAAAGCCATGCAGCTATTCGAGAATCCAAGGTTTTTTGTTTGCTGCTTGGTTTATTTCACAACCTGCAGAGACCTGAGTTGTTCTTTAAGAACATGTTAGAGATATCACATTGCTATTACCTATGCTATAAAATGAATGATCAATTATCTGAGAACACTGTAATTAACAGAACTTCTCTTCAATTGTTTGGAGACATGAGGAAAAGCTTTTCCTCAAGCACTTCCTTTGTTTTTTGTCAAGATGGCTTCAGATCACATTGTAAAATGCTTCTTTGATCCCATTATTTTAGGAAATTGGAAAGACTGGACTGATGGGAATAGTGATACTGTCCTAAACGAGGAAGATTACATATCTGACTGATATTTTTCAATTTGTTCTTGATTTATGTGCAATAAAAGTTTCAGATTAGAGGCAGAAGGAATTTCAGAAAAAATGCTAAACACACTTATAGGAGAAAAAAAAAATTCTTCCATGCCCCATGCACAAGACTTCAGTTAAATATTAGTATCATTTAGCCATTGTGGTATAATATTCTAGTACCAAGGAACAGCAAAACTCATTTAAAAATTAACAGAAGAGTTGCTAGCATATTCAATAGCAAATGTGTTTAAGATCTAAAAACCAATCTTAATGCAATGAACCAAAACAACATTTTGAATTACAAAAAACTATTTGTACATGAGTATTATCATCCCATCAGTAATGGCTTATCTTCAAGCATCCACTACTAACTAAAATACTAGCACTCAGACTACCTGAAATCCATTTTAATTTAAATGCATCTTTTTCTTTTGTTAATATCATACAATAGTAAAATGCATACTATTTTTTTAAACAAGGCCAAAGTAATGTTTGGCTATTTAAGCAGCATGGAAGCCCTACCTGCCTGTGTCTGTACAGCAGCAAACAGGCAACGATGTGGGTAGACATCACAGCACAGGACTTGTTAGCAGCTAGAGGTAAACAAGATAAACTTGTTAAGTACCTGACGAGTTCAGAACATCACTAGAGAAGTACTCACTATTTTAAAAAAAACAATAGTAATAGTGGACAGAACTGTACCTTCTGAATGAAATACAAAGTGTATTAGGTCTATATAGTAACAAAATTAATCAAATTAAAGTAACTTGAACTAAGAAGGCTGAGTAAAGCTTAAAAATATACTATGCTAAGTACCATTTTGTATGCGCATCTCACAAATCACAGAGGTACTGACTGAAGCATACACCACGTAACCTATAAAAAAAACTGGCAACACTGGTCCAACGCAGCTAGATGAGTTCATGTCAGTACAATCTTAAATAATGCCATTAATACACTGCAATAACTTCTTAGATTAAATGATAAGAAATCCGTGTATAGATATGACAAGCAAACATTTCAGAGTACAGCAAGTTCAGTATACTAGTCCAAGGAATACAAAAGTTAACAAAGCAAACAGAATAAAAAGCTTGCACTTGATCAGAGTTTATTCAAACTTTGAAGAGGAGGGAGGCAAAGGATGGAGAATTATCAAGACAGCATTTGAAGTCATGAAATGATCACCTGAATGGAGGGAATTAGGAAGTTTCACATTACCAAACAGCAAGTTAGTTCACGCAATCAGCAAAACAAAACAGGTAGCTGACAGTGATACCAGAACACTTACTGAACAAAATATGCTCAGCCAAGTTGGATATCAGCTCTCTTCTGAAGGGCTCACTGGTGATATCCCTGGAGTTGGGCAGTGAGGCCTCTGCACCTTCATCCACAGTATCATTAGGTCTGAATACAGAATAAATAAAAAAAAAAATTAAAAAAAAAAAATCACAGTATGATGTTTAGATTTTGATCAAAATGTAAACTAATCTAGACTGATTTGAAACTGAAGTGTTTATGAGGTTTAATGAAAAATTAAGGATTTGGTTTTGTTATTTTTTTGCTAAGTTATTCCACAAAATTTAAAATTAAACCAGAAGTCACTAAAATTAAAACAAAAGAAGAAAAAAAACCCCAAAACCTCCTTGTGCTTTAAACAGAGCTTCTCAGACAGAATGCAACTCCTGTAATAAATTGCACAGTTACAAATGTGTAAGTTTTTAGTTTTTCTATACAGAATTAGATTGCCTTTGGGGAGTTCAAGTTCTGCTTGGAATGTAATGTAGAACACTAAAAAGCCAAACAAACAAAAAACTCCAACCTGTCCTTCCTCTCCCCAACCCCCCCAAAAATCTCTACCTTGACGGAAGGATAGCTGGTAACAAAGCTTGTTCCAAAGAAAGGGGAGCAGGCACAGGTTTTTGGCTTTGGCTGTTTACATATTCCTGTTAAGAGAAGACTTGTTATTTTTTCCACCTTATTCATGCATTCAATTGATAATATTATTCTATGAAAAAGACAATTATTCAAAAATGCAACTGTGATTAAAAATAGTTCACTCTAAAAGAGCAGTAATAAGGTCATCGAAATTAAAAGTTTTCAACAGTTTATTTGGTTTTGATCTTATTTTATGAAAAGGCAAACTTTCCACAGCAAGGCATCCACACTTCATAAAAAACATTGCAACAAAACCAATACATAAGCGCTGTCGTCACCCTGCTGGGAACAACTCCTTTGAGACTAGTTTCTCCATGATTAAATTAATGAGAACTGTCTTCATTAACATGAATGAGAGCAAAGTCTAATACCCTTTCAGAACCAACACAGAGACTGTAATTATTGCTTCCTGCCGCTTTCCCAAACACCAGCATAGGGAACTGCTCCATAGGTAAACACCAGCGTACAAACTCCAGCTGCAGGATCCCTCACGGTGCCACAAACTAAAGCACTCGGGAAGCAGGCGGGGTACCACATGCTTGGAATTCTTGAATCCCAAATTTTTCAAAAGCCAAACACCTCTCTGCTTACAGGTCACCACTCAGATTACTCTTGTTTTCAGGACACACTGTTCTTTCAGTTTCTATAAAGACTAATGTGGGAAACTAAAGAGCCACTTAACCTGCTGGTCAGGAAAAGAGTTCCCTCCCAGGAAAGCTGCTTAAAAGACTTTCCCAGCCAGCTCACTCTCTTCTGCTTCTAAGCCTGTGCTCACAGAACTGTTGATGCCCAAAATTAACCCCCAAAGCTCATCTCCTTCAGAAAAACCTGCAGTGACGTAACTACATCAATTTAAAAATACCGTTACACTTCTGCAAATCTTGGTTAAGGCATACTTAAACAATTTATGTCATGCTTTTACCTTTCTGGAGTAAAAAATGAATACACATACATACAAGACCTGACAGATGATGCTAGGAAGATATAGAGTGATTAGCATTTCACTAGATTAAGAGGGTATATAACCTTCTTTTCCTTATACAGATCCAAGAACGATTGTTAACTTCCTACCAAGAATAGCCTGGAAGTGACCCAAGCCTTCTCCTTTGGAAGTGAATTAATATCTTTCCCTACAACGCTAATTATAATGCAGTGCAGACGGTCACAATAATTTCATGCTGTGGTAATTGAACCCTCAAAGCTCTCCAACCTACTGCTTTTCTGAGAGAAGTAGGGCAGAAAGAAGAACACCTAATTAATTTGAATAATGTTCTAGTAGGTTGTTGTTACAGTAGTTAATCTTATTAAAGGCACACTAAAAATAATGTATACTGTAGCAGAACATAGATTAGAGAAATATAGATAAATTCAGTATAGTGCTAGCAGATTCTGCAAAGAGATCAGAGAAAATTTAAAAAGTGAAGGCAGCTAGTACTGCACCACCCCATTCCCTGCGAAACTACACAACACTATTTGGTCAACTAGTATAAGTAATAATTGTAAACTAATCATAAACTATGACATTCAAAGAATATGCAGATTTTTATGATATATGATCCATGATACTTTTTACAGCTACTAATTTGCTTAGTAGTTTTAAATGTCCAGTAAGATAAATGCCCTTCCTCAAAAACAGTGTACACCATTCAATTACTCAAACTGGAGAACAGGATTCAGTTTCCTTCAAACCCAAATGTCTCTACAACTTAAACAAGGTACAAGGATCATTTTAAAGATTGTTTGTTCAAACAAAACAAAGAACCCCGGTGAGAATACTTACACGATTTCTAACCTAACACAACCCTTTATATCAGCTCTGAGACTATTTCAGATTTAAGAAACGTGTCCGAAGACTCATGCCTTCAGCAAAACAGGGATACTTTTGTCCCACTGGAACGGACTTCAGCAGATAATGCTTCGTGCTGATAACCCACAAAGAGAAAAAGAACAATAAACGCGTCCCACTACTGAAACATCAAAAATGTCAAACCTGCAGAAGGATCTTCAAATATCAAACTTACTTTTAAGGAAAATGGTTGTGCAAAATCTACTCTGACACACCCATAATTCTTCCGCAGCATTCTGAAGACTCCTCTAGCTATACTCCAAAGACTTTCATTCTTCTTAGGCTTGCCCTGGAAAACATGGGTGGGTGTTCTGGGGTTTTTCCAATTTGCAATTAAAAGGTTATGTTTAAAATTAAAATTCATGCAACAGCAGACAAAACAAGGACGTATCATTTGACACACCTTGTAACTTCAAGTAAATCTAGAGAACTATTGTTTTCCATATATATCCACTTGAATGTATTATTTGTTATGTCATGAATTTGCATTTAGAAGTATGTCACCCATACCTCTGCACTCCCTATCAGAGAGGTTTCGGCATTCATGGCTCTATGCTCTTCAACACTAACACCAAGTACCTGTGACAGAGGACTACTGGCACATAGTTTAACTATGTAACACATTTTCCTGCACACAAACAGAAAATCCCCTAGGCAAAACAAGTTGTTCAATTGCTCTTACCAGCTGTTCACTGTTATAGTGACCTTCAATTATGCGATCATAGGAGATTCCCACAGGTATAATTAGGACGTCAGGAGTAGCATTTGAGAAGAGAGCATCCACCACCACAGATAAAAGACCTGCTCTAGCTCCAGATGTCTTTCCACTTCGAGACCGTGTGCCTTCCAAGAATATTTCTAAAAACTGCTGCTGCCTCAACAATTCTTCTATGTGCTGAATACAGAGAGATTGGAAAAGAGGAAAAAATAAATATCTCATTATACTGGCAAATGCACATTTGAAATATATGGTCAGCAACCATTTCCTTTTAAAAAGCACTGGAACATCATAAGTTAGCATGAATACTCGTGAAAAAAACAAAAGCAATAATTGATGCTTGACACAAACCCAGACCAAACTGCAACTGAATTTGCATGAATATACAAGCAATATAATGCCATTTGTTCAAGAACAGCATCTCTAGCAACAGTTGATCTAGCCAATTTGCATAGGTCTCTTCTGGTTCCTCAGTACATACCATCTTCCAAGATGCAAATACAGCTATTACATTGAATGACACAAAGGATTACATCAACCCATCATCAACAGAGACTTCCATTAACTTAACAGAATCAGTGTTGATATGCCTCAGCACAAATCAGAGAGACAAGGCTTAACATTAATTCAGATAGTATTAATTCCACTTTCTTTAATAAGGATTACTCAAAGTAAAAATCTTCTCATCCTCAGTGGTGCTGGGCATTCAAGTCTCTTATTTCAGACATTCAAGACTCAATACAAAAATGCATCCTGTTTTTGCCACATGAAACCCCAGACAAATTCAAAGAAGTAAGACCATCCCCAGACTGATGGAGCTCGTTTTCCCACTTGCCATCTGACCAAAATGATGTCTATGGAAACAAAGACAAGAAATACATACCACATAGAGCAAAGCTCTGTAGAGGAAGTCCTTACGACCGTCAGGACTCTGATCTAACTTTCGACGAATGAAAAATCCTCCCAGCTTGCGGATCAACGTGCTACATGATAAAGAAGAATGATACCCATTGATTTTAGTTTGCAGGAAACTGCTATGCATTCCTAGCACACAACAGGAACTGCAATTACTGAAACATATTAGACTATTCACACATGACGGGACCATGCATATATTACTCTATTTAACTTAAGAAATAGGCTTCTCTACACTGTCTTGCTGCATTTCGCTCCCTTGACAGACCACTAACCCCCTGCACCGACCCTGACTGGGAGATCCCTGTATGTTGAGATGCTGGCGACCCACGTAACAGTTGACCTGAGCTGGCCCAAGTCTGTGCCGTGCTTCACATACAGCACGGCCGTGGTGCCCGTGTTGGACTGCGCGTACCCCTTGGCTGCAGGATCAGCTCAGCTGGCTAATTTTAACAGAGCAGCCAGAAGTTCTCATGAGAAGATCCTTTCTGCTTGACAGAAGAACTGATGAATATAGGATTTTCTTACAAGAAAAGAACTCTACTAGCTCAAATGGCCAAAACGGGATAACCCTTACTGCAGGCAGGGTCTGCAGGGTCTGCTGCACGTGGATCAGAGGCCAGCTGGATGCTGCACAACTTGGGGTTCCCAGTGTCTAAAGGGATGTTACATTACCTATGTTAGTCTCTCTTTCTTTATACTGCTAATAAATAGCATTTTAATTGATACTTTATAGAGTCTGAATGCCTTTCTTACTGGGATCATCACAGACCAGCAGCTACTGGTGCAAAACACCCTCTAAGGCAAGGTATCCCCCTTCTTTCCTCATCATTTCCTGCAATATCCAGTGGCTTTTCAGAAATCAGTTATCCCCAATTTCTGTTTCACTGGCAAAATACTACCTAAAAGACCTTAGGTTCTTCAGCCACCACAAATATAATTTCAACAGAGACCAAATTGGAGTACTGTCCCACAAAGTATTATTCACTCAGTACTCTTGCTGCCCATTAGCCAGCTCATTAAACTTCATGAAGAAGAGTTACCCACTCACATTTTTTCCACATACCCATCCTTCCTTAGGCATCTACTCACTTTGAAACTCCTAGAAGAAAAGAATATCCTTCCTTACCCTACTTAGGTTATGATAGAATTTCTCAGAAGGATCTTCTTGTGCTCTCTCTCCGAGCATGCAATAGGAACCAAAGAAGTTCTACATGATGGCCCAATAATACTCAGATTATCTTACACTTGGACATCAGACATATTGAGCAATAGGTCATCTGAAGATCCCCCCACCTCAGTCTTTTTCAAATAAGAAGAGGTTATTACCTGAAGATGGGGATGTTGAGATTGTTCCCCGCAGCAATGTAGGGTGCTTTGATGTTATGGCAGAAAAGAATGAATGTAAGGAGCAGGTAGTCAATGTGGGATTTGTGAACGGGCAAGAAGATAAGAGGCAAATTCATCTATGGTGGGGAGAGAAGGAAAAAAGAGAGAAGACAGCTGGTAAGAAATGTGGAATATTACTCCTTTGCTAAAATCCATCATTGAGATTGCTAGCATCATATTATCAGAACCGATGGTATTTTCCAGTTACCATCATTCAGTTTGTTTACTTCTGGTTCATTCAGCTGTGACGATGAGAACATTTTTGTCAACTGTACTTCTTAATTTTCATGGACTACAGTTTTCAGTTGTATGCATTACATTAACAATGACTTACGTTCCCAGTTTCTTCAGACTCACAGTATCGAGCCAACAATCAAACAATTAAAGGGATGTGGCCAAACCATCAGTGTCACCAAAGTGCTGCTATTTCTATTAGATATCAGCAAGGATCTATGAATGGTGGGGTTCCCAAACACTGTAATCAAAAGATTACAGAAAATAGTAGCCTTTTTTGTTTGTTTGCTTGTTTCATTTATCTAATCCATCTTGCTAAGGTAAACTCTGCAAAAAGAATCAATTCCTTTGAGTGTGAAGAAAATGGTAGAATTTGGGAGTTATTTTGATCAATTTCAATAAATATTGAAGGACTGGAAACAGATTGTTAGTAAGAAATAGGAAGAGTTTATTTCTTAAAGATTTTTATTCCAAATTAAGTTAAGAGTGAAAAATCCTAAATAGAGCTATTAACTTATTACTGGCTGCCTCAGCACAAAAAGAGAAATAATGCAGGATGCAGGTTATCCAAGATAATCATTCAGCCTGATAGTTAAAAATTGTCCTGAAACAAAGGTAAAACCAAAGTTCACATAGTATTTTAGGTTACACAACTCAAAGAGCATTATATTTAATTAAAAACATTATGTCACAGGTATGAGACAGTTCTATCTACAATCTGATATCATACAGACTTAGCAGAACTCTCCTAAAAAGATAAAGTGCTGTAAAAATTAATAGAAACTACATCAGAAATCTGCCTTACTAGATTCTTTTCCACCCTCCCTTACCTCTGTTGCTGCTTTGACCATTTCTATTTGACCTCTGTGGATCTGAATATTCCAGAAAAAGCTGTTAAACAACTTCAGTAACACCCAGCCAGTCAACCTGAAGGAAGAACAAACACAACTCAAAAAAGCTTTATTAATCTCTGCCTCCATTTTATATTGCTTCTATATGACTAAAGACAAAGCCATAAAATCTGATTACTTTATATTCAAACAAAATTACTATAAAATCCAATTGCTTAACAAGTTTTTGCCTATCAGCTAAGCCGTGGCTAGTAACCACATTTCACCCTCCTGCAATTATGACACAAAGCTACAAAACTTGTTAGTGTCAACCTCAGTGAAGGCTGTTCAAAGGGCAGAGACCACTTTAGATATGGGGCAGGTTAATGAAGGTCCTACGATCAATTACAACAACTAAGCTCGTTAGGTGACAGCATCTATCTGGTCTTGTGGGAGAACTTAATATATTTACAAAAATATAGGGTTTGCATCACAGAAGTTGTTGAAGGGGACTAGGAACAGGACAGAGATAAATTCATCCTTAGTAGTAAAGGTAGACACTACAGTTGAAGATTTTGTCAAAGGATACTAATACTGGTGTTAGCACCAAACCTAGTTTCAGCAGAAAAAAAACAAAAAAAAAAGTCTATATTTAATCTTATCGTAAGATTTATCTCTTGAAAAGGCAGAGGGTTTCTGCTGCATCTGAAAATGAAGAGTAACTACCATTTCATTAGTTAACATTAGAAAAGGGATTTTTATGAATAATGCATTATTTTTTAGAATAATTATTCATTACTTATGCATAATGTGTTACAAGTTCTGCTGGTATAACACAGAGAGAGCTTGGCTGTTCTTCCACTCATCTACAATACTGATGAGCCATTTTTCTTACCGGATTAAAGCAGGCGACACATTTGCTACCATTTCCTGGAGAATTTTCCTAGCTTTTTTCTTCACTTTGTTGATAGCTTTAGGATCCGTCTGAGCAAAACTACCCGGAGCACTTGGTTCAGAAGCTTCATCTACAATGGCCTTCTGGACTCTTAACATTAAAAAGTAAAACTTATGAAACAGTCCCGCAACAGAAGAGTTCAAGTCACAGACAACAGCTGCTGGGAGTGAGCTATGTATTACTACAGGAGTAACTTGCAGGCATAAAAGAAAGCACAGCGTACTGCAAATTTGTTAAATTTAACTCAGTAGTTTTCTAAGCTCTGATTAAATAGGTGGATGATGGATAGATGCGCTCAAAGCTAACCATATAAAACAGTATGTATGCAGTTCATAGGTACTGATAATAGTGACCGCCAATTTTCAGAAACAGTTAATAAGGTTAAAAATGTGGAAGAACAGTTGAAATCACCTTTTTGTTACTATTTTCTTTTTCCTGCCACAGCAATTTCACTTACCTCATTAGACAGATTTAGGCAGTTGCTATTTTGTATTTCTACAGCATCTTCCCCCTTGAATTCTCAGTTTGACAGGGTAACTAATTTTATAAGGGCTATTTTCCCCATTTAAAACATACCTCAGAGAGATTAAGTGGTTTAACACACAATAACTGTGGCACAACACAGTCTGCTTTGCTTTTCAAAAGCAACACTATCATCTTCAGATGGGACTCGACCATTAAAAATTCAGGAGAGTTAGGAATGTTAATGTAGGCAGTGTGTGGCCTCCAACACAAGTAGATTCAAGGAGAGGGCATGTGGTTGAATTTCTTTGTGTCCAGGGAAAACTGATACCTTAATAGCTAATCAGGGGCTGAACGTGCCATTTAAAATGCTGTATATGAAACAGAAAACAAGCTCCACAAAGTAAAGGGTGGGTGCTTCATTCTACAGCCTTTTTCCAGTTTTGCCTCACACTCTTGGTGCACACTCAGGGTACTCTGAAATGCTGCTTTCCTATTATTTCTGAAACACTGACAATTTCTGATGACTGTAGTATGTCTTTAGTGGTAATGATTTACATGAGTTAGATAAACAAACGTTTGAAGAGTTCCCATGTAACAATTTATTTTTCTGTGTACGGTCTGCTGTCCACTCACTATGCATAATTCATTTGGAGATTTATAATTCTTAATCTCTCCTCTTTTATTATTCAAACAGCAACTGCAAGCTACAGTCCCGAAGGGCTGTGCTGAAGATACCGTTAATATTTTAAATACTCTGATTTTCAAAACATGCTGTTTCCAGACTCTAAAATCATATTATAATAATCATACAATAATTGTAATATAATGTATCAGGCTCATAAAAATTAGTTTATTTTGTGTTATCTTACCTGCTGTTATTCAGCACATTTTCTGTCAGATTCTTGGCAAACATACCCTTATGAACATCCCTCTCTTGCACAAAAAGGACATAACAAAGGCGTCTTGCAAGCCACCCTCTGTACCTACAAAAATATGAAGCATATTTGAGCATCACCCTCAAAATATTTCACTGCCAAAGAAAAAGAATTTTAAAAATACCTAAAAATACAATTAAGAAGCAAAAGTAAAGTTTTATGAAGGGCTGGCTAAAAGCATCTGTGTCTTCTGGTAAATTGTCCATATGTTAATGTTACAGATGAAATAACTAATGCGTAGCACAAAGTATCTGAGACAACCGAGGTCTGCGTTACTTCAATTCAGGGTGATACAGTCTTAAAACACCCATAGCATCACAGCAAAGTAGCTACAATCTGCATATACATTTTGTCTGTCCACTGGAACCGACTCCCCAGCTCAGCGAGGAGGAAAGAAGATTTAGTGCCCATTTCTGATTCGTTGACTTTCCACCGAGGAACGTAACTGCCCAGTGAAGAGGTTTATCAACTTTTTCAAGAAACACTCAGCCCTCTTGGGAAGGTTGCTCACATTGTATGCACAGGGTAAACCCTCACAGGCACTTTTGAAAATACGTTTGCATTAGCCACCAACACTAAAACCACTTCTTTTTGTAATCTTTTCTTCCTTTCCAGAGTTTTTACACATCCAGTCCTATACGCCTCCTATGTACCTCTCCTTGCAAAGTTTTAACAGAAGTAGAACCACTAAATAATCAGTAAATCTCTCTATACATTCAAACATTTAAGGAAGGCAACTCAGCTTATGCAGCCAGTCTCTCCCTGTCCTCTACTCTCTGGATCATACAAGCAGCCATCACCTGTGAAAATGTTGTTTTGAACAGCTTTCCTACCATCACAGAAGATGCATGTGACATGGGAAGGGAAAAAAATCCAGTCCCCAGCAGTGAATACTCATTACTATTTTCTCTCCTCACCACCCTCACCCTCCAGGCCAGGACTGGACAAGCCGCCACTCACGTGGGTCACCCCACAAACCAAACAGAGCTGGGACCCTCAAACAGCAGAGCTGATGTAACGGGGCAGGACTAACAGTTGGAAGAAGAAATTAAACTCTGGCCATTCCTAAGACCGGAGCACTCAGTATTATGCAAAAACCCCTGTCCTGCGGACTGCTGGGGCAATGCATCGCTGATGCTCATGGTGGTTTCCACGCTGGAGTGCTGCCAAGGTCTCACTCCCGGTTGTCACCAGAGTCGCTGATGTTGGCTGCTAAAGCTCCCTACCACATTTCAGTAAATTTACACATGCATTAAAACCAGTTAGGAAAGATGAGAAGGAACTTTTACACTGCAAAAGGCCAAACCATCTGAGCGCAGTTATACAAAATTCAGACCATCTTGAAGGACAAAGAATTTTGCTATTCATGCTGTCAGGGAAATAGACTGGTGACTCTGTTTTAATTGCTTTTCCATTTTCCCCTTCTTATCAGAGTTTGAGCGCCTTATTGATTTTCTAAAAAGCAAAGTTAAGGAGATATGCTTCTTTCTTTCTGACAACTGTTTTGGTAACTATGAACTTATCATCATAACAGCATACAGCCATATTGTCAAAGTATAAAGACTTCTACATTAATTTTACAGCTTAGACACAACATCATACAATTAGAGGAATCAGTTTTCTAATGGTGTAGCAATGACAGAAGACACAAACCACACAGAACACACCCGGTCAAGATATATTATAAAACTGACATATTACACTTCAGGAAAAGGCTGTGGTAACATCTCAATACAGGTACAGTAAGCTAGCAGTTAAAGAGAATCCCTCTTGTTTTCTAATGCCAAGAAACTGTGACTATGTAACCCCATGGGACCTCAGAACTTCATTAAAATTATCAATTTTCAGACTATAATAACATTCTGAGGGAAAGGCATTTTATTTCAGAATAATTAATTAACCCATATTTTGTTGCCCTCGTATTTCTAATTTAAGTAACTCTGACCATTTGGAACCATTCAGGCATCAAATTTTGAAACTAATAAAAAAGTTAAAATTAAACCCTATTTCTGTTACTTTTCTGTATTCTAAACTACAAGCTCAACTCTTAAAAAAACATAATTAATTCAAATTGAAGAAAGAACAGCCTCTAACATTAGCTTCCTCCCTCTCAAGTACAGCACAATGCCGCCTTTCTTCCACTCAGACACTTTGGCTCATTTCTTTCAGGCTGCTGGCCTCTCTTTGTTTGCTCTGACTCTACGACAAACACTGCAGGATCTGCTTATGCTAATGATTACTGTAAAACCCTTAGCAAGCACTACTAACTTTCTGAAGAACAGAATAAAGATTTTTGTGTACTTCCAGTGTCTTCATCCCAGAACGCAAGATATATTTCCAATAGCACAAAGATATGTCATCATCTCTAGGCCACATACACCATCGTTCAGGAGCTGCACTCTGCCACTGAGGCAGAGGAGGGAGAGTCTAGCAAGACATATTCAGATTTAATTGTCATTAGTGATAATAGGCAACACCTAAACCATGAGCCAGATCTGCTCAGTAAGTTGAAATGCAGCCCGAAGTCATTCTTAAGCACGGGAATAGAACAGCTCCTCTCAGCATTATGCTACGGATGCTGCCATTTGCACTAAGGGAGAAAGGATTTAAACGCGCTCTGGTTTTTGTGAAACAGGTTTGACCCTTACACTCCTTGCCTATAACCCCAAAGGACTTTGCCCAGCTCCCAAATACACACAGCCGGATTTAACAAGTACATTACTTTCCTGAAATCGGCATCAATTCCTGCATTTTAGGACAGCAACATACATTCACTCAGTTTGGACTATCCTAGAGATTTCCCTGCCATAAGATCAGAACACACTGTATTTTAAAAGCAAAAGAAAGACTTGCTACATTACCTCGTATGTGTTTCATTGATATATATGACATTACGTAGACCCAAAGAAGGAATACTAGCGTTGAAGAAGTTATCCTGTAAAACCAAGATTAAAATAAGATTGTTGGACTATTTTGTTACATAAGAATAGTTGTGTCTTTACATTCATCGTAACATTTAAGATAATGCAATGTTTTTCAGCTCTATTATATACAAAAGCCAAAGCAGAGAAGTGCTGAACTTGCTTATAAAGTACACACAAACAGTTCTGAAATGAAAACAAAATTTAGAAAGTTCCTATTCCCAATTCCAACACTCTCAAGGTATTCTCTAGGATTTACTGCATACAGAAATGGTTGTATTGGTTGTATTCTTCAAACCAGAATATTTTATCACATTCTGATGCAATATAAACCAGGACTTGTCATAATGCAGAACTCATCTTTGAGACAGAACTTTATTAAGCCACGTTCAGTGTTAGTATAATCACGAGCCGTTTGATGCTCTGTCTGTCACACCCAGTTTGCCAGCAGATCAGCATCCCATAACAGCAGCCCATGGGTCAGGGAACCCATCCATGGTTAGATGGCAAATCTCCACAGCTCTGCTCTGCCCGAATCACAAATTCAATCCAGCCTTCTACATCCCTGGTACAGGCTCTACATGCCAGGCTATTAACTGTTCTCGGATGAGTCTGGGAGCAGTTCCACTTTGGATAAACAAATATTCCCTGGCAGGAAGATCTAAACTTTAATCTTCCATATTCCAAGTAAGTACCTTGACCGAGAGGCTAGTTTCTTTCTGCCCAAATAATATTTAATTATAAAACCAATACCATGCCAACAGTGAATTACAGCTAAAACCACAGAGACTATGCATGTCAAGGAAGGCAAAAACAGAACAGTGAAGGAGAAACAATGGTTACCAGCAACAGCGTAGCTGCAGAACAGCTTTACAACCAATTTTGCAATGGGAGTCTGATAAGAGTCTCATTTGTTTGTATTTTGTTTAGGACACACCATTTGCCACAAATTAAAATACATGAGTGTTCTATGTCATTTCAAAATCAGGTAGAAATCATGTGCTACAGTACACAGTCTTTTGCCCCACTGTGTAGTACATACAATCAACAAATTATTGCTCTAGGCTCTTAAGAGGAAACTTCAAGGTAATACTAATTTGACTATTCACTAGTATTTTTTTTTGTGGATCTTAAAGCTAGATGAAATGTTCTGGCAAAGAGAAGTGGAATGACTTGTTCCTGGTCTCCCAAAAAATCAGCAACAAAGCACCAATGAATGCCCGAGTCCACTCCAGTGCTCTGTTAGGTTATAACCTCACTGTGAAATTCATCCTCCAGGTGTAATGTCACACATTAGCTTTTCCTTATTTAACTTTTCCGCGACCCTGTGTCAAGATGTGGTTCTGTGAGACCAAGTGAGCTGATACAACATCTCCCTGCTGCTGCGAGAAGCCCAGCTCCCACCGCTACATCCCAACCTTTCCCACTAAACGCCATCCCCCACCTCCCAACTTACACCACCTCTAGTATTCATCACACCCCTTAAGGAGCCAACTTCATCCAGGCAAGGTAGAAAACTAAGACAGCCAGACTAAGTGAATAAATAAAGCAGGTAGTTTTCCGCTTGGTTAGTAAACTTGATCGCAGCCCCCAGGGAGTAGGAAGGAACAGAAGATGGAGAAGTGAGGCTCCCCACTCTCTGCACCGGCACTTAAGGAATTCCGTCTCACTTGCCCATCCTTTTTCCTTAAGAGAATTACCAAAACAGGCAGTTCAAAGTGAAATATCCAGAGTCATCTGAGAGGATCTGGTTTGTTATCATCTGCTACAAGGACAGTATTTTCTCCTTGTGGCTAAAGGCAATAAAGGGCTTAATCAGGTCATGCCCCTTTCCTAAGTGGGATCTCAGGACAGGTAATTAGTTCCTTATTAAATGAACAAAATACAGAACAAGATTTTTCTTCCTAAAGCATAATTCCCAACTTGAGAGGAACAGCCTAATTACTAAGGGTATAAATGCCCAAGTTGAGAATTCCTACACACCTTTCTACAAGTTGAAACACATAAGTGTCTGTTAGAAGTAGTCTCAGTTTATCTAATTGCTTTTCTTCTTGACCATTATCATACGTAGCCTTCACAGCACATTTGGATTTCTATCCCACATTTGTATGTCATTGCTGCAATTATCTATTCTGGCATAGGAATGGAGTTAAATAACAACTGTTCCTTGGTCAAAGAAACAAGCAAGTTTTCGCTCTAGTCCTGCCAATCATGGAGTTCAGTGCAGGTGTAACTGAGCGCAATTTAAAGCCTGGGGTGTACACATAGTCAAACTACACAATGAACTGGTTGCAAACTATATTATGCCATTTATCAGCATTTTGCATCTTCAGCTTACAGAAAGCCTGCCCAGTGCAGTTCAATAAAGTTCACATTTTAAATCAGATTGCGCAACCCTTCTAAAGCCACCATCTCGACACTGTTCTCAGCGGGCGAAGATCCCTGCTATCCTAACTGACCCTCCTGGCTTCTCTGCCCAGCCTGGAAACAAGGAATCAGCCAGGTGTAGAAAACCAACCTGCCTTCTCAAGCACACGACTGATCTTTTCAAGCCTGAAGGGAAGCATATTGCTTACTTTCAAAACTGTACTTATTCTGTGGATAGAGAATTAAGTATCCTAAAAGTAAGCCTTAACACTTTCATACGCACCAAATTCGCGTTACTAATCTAGCTGAGCAAATTATTTTTTCCATACAATTTCCTAGTGCTAATTCTGAAGAGCTGGAGAGTTTTGTGCAATGAGTAAGTCCACACTGAAAAGCATGAGACAAAGCACCACAATAGGTCTGTGTCATCCATTAATTCCATGACAAAGAAAATATAACCACAAACAAAGGAGAAAAACTATATTCCTTTACGAAGTAAGAACATTGTGACCTTAATTCTGAAAGTAAGAAAACTACTGAAACTTCATTACACTGTAACTATGCATTATTGTTAAACATAATCCAGTCCATAATCTTCTTACCCGGCTCTGGGGAGTGCATACGTAGCAACATCGTCCCACGAATGGCCTTTTTCTGCTCAACAGAGTCTCCTTCCATTTTAAAGTGGCAGATCGGAAGAAGAGAGTGGGCCTAGAGTTACATTCTCCCTGCGGAACAAGAGACCACTGTGTAAATATCCAGAAATATGTTTTACTGAGTAGGTGAAAACTTTGAAGAAAAGGAGTTGCCTGACACCAAAAAAAGATTACCTCCCCCAAAATTACGTAAAACTAATAAATTTTTTTCCAAGATTTTTTCTAAAATAAATTATATTCTCTCCAGATGATGTGATTTTAGAAAATAAAAAGCAAAATCACAGTGTTGTACTTGGGTATCTTAAGCACTGCAGCACTTGCTGACACACAAAATTTTAAAACTCTAATAAGAAACAGCAAGGAAACTGAGAGCTGAGAAAAGTGGAAGAAATTAACAGTAAATTACACTCTCAATAACATAAGAGTGTTTGTAATATGAGCAATGTATCTTAAGCTTTACCTTGGACATCACCCTGTAAAACTGCAAGACTGAATGTACGCAAAATATTAACTCCATTGACTCTATAGGCTCTTTTTCAGCAGTTTCATGCAAAGCAATATGAAAAAGGAACCACTGTGCCTTCTCCAATGTTAGGCTGGCTTTTTGAAGATTACAGAACCAAAAAACCCAAAGTAACTGCATTCACAGAACACATTCTCCATGTTAGAACACAATGAAAATATCCTTAACCACAATTTTTACAAAGACACAGATTGTTCCCACTAAAGCCTACCGAACTATTGCTTGCCGGAGAATGAGCACTGGCTTGACATTTTCTGAACCATATAGTCTAAGTTTTTAATAAAAGGGAACTTACAGAAACAAACCAAAACAAAACGATGGCAAGATACACTGAAGTATATTTAAAATAGCAGAAAATAAGCAGGGTGGAACCAATACCTTAAACCAGCGTAAATGTTAGAAAACACAAATACAGATCATCACATACCCAGCTAGAAAGCCAGCCCAGTGAGAAACAACCAGAAAGTCAAAAGCAACGCTAAGATGACTGAAAACTCAAATGTGCATATATCACATTTGGCAAATGATATCAATTGGCAGTTATTCCAAGGCCAAGTCTTTGATCTGAAATAAACAGTCATCAACATGCTAAGCCTGGTCCAACCCCTCTCTCTCTATCACGTTCCATAACACTAAAATTAACCAACTTTATAACAATACTGTCTTCCTTCTGCTTGCCTCCAAGCCCTGACTGAACTCACCACCACTTTCTTACAAAAGCTCCTTCCTATGTTTTTTGTCTCGCCTGTGAGAGAATGATCCCATTCTCTCACAGATCTCTCGGTTACCGCAGCTTGCTGTCCAATGTATCCTATACCTGACTATAGAGAAAAGCCAGCTACCAGGACAGCTGTCCTTTCCCTCAACTCTGACCATGTCTCCAACTCTTCTTCTGTATCAAGTTCAAACTCCTCCTCTCCAGAGCCGTGTCTAATTCCTCCTGACCTATGCTTCCAAACCAACCAGTACCAGCCTGGTCCCCATGTGGCTCTTTCTGCACCACCCAGCCCCCTCTGCTCACTATCCCCTCTGTATCCTCCAGATCCCAATGCTCACTCAACAGAGGACACAGACTTTTAATAGGCTTCTTATTTATAGCCACCAAATTTTCTCTGCCTCCTGTATTGCATGAACAGCTCCAGCTGTAACGGCTACGTGACCGTGCATCTTTAGCCTCATGCTCCTTTTCACTTGCGTGTTTCAAACTACATCCTTCAGAACAGCAACAAGCTTTCTATTTGACTTGCTGTTTGACCTCAGTCCATTACAGAATGGGATTCTGCGCACTTACTGCTATAGAAAATGATTAATAACATCATACCAGAAGACTGTAAGACTATCAATAGGGTTTGATACGAAGGTTTTTCTTTTCTAGCAACATTAGTCTTTGGCACAGCACTGAACCATTGGTTCCTCCTTACGTTTCAAATTAAATTATAATCAAACTGTATCAGACATGAGAGAGAGATGATGCCTTATCTTCATTCTTCATAATAAATAAAAAAAGTCCACCTTCACCTTCAAGAAAAAATAAGGTAAATACGGCTGGCCACATTCACAATTTTTACTTACCCATTCTTCACTGGAATGCTTACATCTACTGATACTGCACTCTGCTGAGGTGGAAAAATAGGAAACATCTATTGTTCCAAGGGACAAAGCAGTTTCATCCATGACACACAAGTTGAACTGAAGATCAGAAGCTGCAAAATAATAACATACATATATATATGCATATATACACACACAAACACGTACCCACACACATAATTTCAGTGATGGGTATCTAACAATAAATTAGCAAACTGGTGGTTTTGCACCCTTCAGTAACCTAAAGGTTACATTCTGAAGAAGTTTCATTGCAGTCAGAAATCAGCATGATTTTCATATGATAAAAAAACCCCACACATCCGATTTCCATAAACACAGCTACCTGCAAGCTTTTCTCTCCCTGCTCTTCTTCCCATTACAGGTCAGTACAGTCCCTTTATGTTTTTCCACTGTTCTTCACCGCATGGTGTAAACCCTTCAGCCACAAGGATACACATTTCAGCCACTTTCAAGTTTACTATTCTCTTGCACTACACGACCTTACTCTTTCATCATTTGCTTCTCAAGGACCTATTATCTACAAAAAATGTCATTAATGTTCTCTCCCGATCCTATCTCACAGTATATTTTATGTGTCTGATCTAGCTGTAGTCAAACCAGTTTGCAAACTCCTCGGAGGAAGGAGCGCTCTACACAAAAGCACACCCCGGAATCTGAACGTGCTGCTGACATAAGGGACATTACAGGCTTGAGGGATTAAAAAGCTGTAAAGAAGTCTAAACTTGCAGTAGTAGTTTAAAATGGAAGTTTTATAGTTCATATAATAAGCACAGTAAATAATGCTTCCTCAGCCAAAGAAAAAAGAAAGTAGGCCAAATATACCAAAACAACTTAGGGTTGTATTGCCTATCTGCAAAAGATTACAAATTACACTGCTTTGTTATGGGGAGCCATCAAAAGAGGAATCCCAGCAATTTCCTCTAGAGAAACTGTAAAGTGGCAATACCGCCTCTTCCATCTGTCACCGCAAAGAAACTCGCATTACGGCGAGACTGCTCCCACCCTGTATGCTAACATTTGCAAGAGCAAGGCCTAAAACTTTAGTCCAACGTTTTGTCTGTCTTACTGCCCTGCCCAAGCAGACACAAGCCTCCCGCAGTGTCTCCGCACACAGAGTTCCCAGCACAAGCTGGAGTTTGAACTAGTATAGCCACTCACATACTTACCTTCGCGCAGTGTAAGTACATAAGTTATCCTTTTTTCTTTGCTGGCTCTTACACTCAATTTGCCTTTTTTTTTTTTTTTTTTATTAGTGCTCAGGCAAATTAATACCTAAACGACCCAATAAATACAAGAAGGCGGCTCACAAACACCTAAACGGTGAAAGCTAAACGCGTCCTCCGATTGTGCTCAAGGTGACCTTGGCTGCAGCGGCACACAGAGAAGATGAACTTTAAAAAATACGTAATTAAAAGCCTGCCTGAGCAACTTTACACGTACCTCTAACAAAACCTGCCCTCCCGAGCGCTGCTCTCCGCTGCGGCGCTTACGCAGTTCACCTGCTGCGGCACGCCATCCTGGCGGCTCGGACGGGGCTCCGCGGTCCCGCACGCTCACCAGATCTGCTATAAATAAAAACACGGCGGCTCAGCGCGGCTGTCGG